TATTCAGTGTAGAATGATGTCGTATTAAAACCTTAATTAAACCATGACCTTCCGCGGCCATCATTTTTCACATTTTTCAATAGTGGGAAACATTTTTTCAACGCTTGCAGTTTTTTCTGAAATATTAATCAATTTAGCAAAAAAAAAAAATAATGATCAGCAAAATTAATAATACTTACTAACTGCAGAAATGTATAACATTTAAAAAACTATTAAAACGGAACTGGATGTCTGAATATTTATTATTACGCAAAAAATAATCTCTGTCATTTACTTTTTAAAAATAATTTCACTCAAATGTTGGCCGGAGATAGAACATTACCGGATATTTTTCTTTGGGGTTAGGTGAAGTTAAAAGTCTTCGCCAATAAGCCAGCTAAGATTCAAAACTTGGAAGCCGACATTGCTTACGTAATTCGCGCATTGGTGGGAAAAGTAATCGAGAATTGGACCTTCCGAATATACCATTTACAGCGTAGTCTCGGCCACCGCTTACTTTCGTAAAATTAACTATAAATACTCTAGCAAATTATTCGCCGTTTTTGGTTCTTTCGGTTTCAGCATGATAAGATTCCGTTTGCTGAAAAAAATAAAAAAAAGAAGTCGGCTCAAGCAAAAGAAAAAAAATTAACTTTGATTTTGAAGTTTTTACCCAGTCAATTTCGTACTGAAAACACATCGCTACCTAAAGGTGAAAAGGTGCCAAGTCCATTTTTTTCAAAATTTAGTTTTCAATACAGAATGGCAGGTAATACGAAACTACTCTTGGCACATTTTCACCCTTAGGTGACGACATGACACTTTTAACATATGTAGCTCTAGAAACCACTCGGAACTTTTTCATACACCAAATATCTGGATGTTTTAGAGAAACTTGTCAACCCTTTTCATTCACTTCAATTTTTTTTTTGAATTTTCCTGAATTTTTCTGCTTTATTCAGGACTTTATGGGATTTTTAAGTTCCAGTTCTACATTTCAGTCTAAATGCTACATATTGGGCCTTATGCATAAAAAGTGAGCTTAAGCTCAGACTCAATTTTTGCACTGAAGGGGTGAGCTCAAGCTCACTTAAGCTCACTTTTTATGCATGAGGCCCATTATTTTCACCAAATATTGTTTGCCAAAAAGTATGCTCAAGATAAGTTAGGATCAAATAAACAGTAGTGGTACTCACGAAATCGAGCAAGTGGCCTGGCAGTCTGGCAAAAGAGCAGACAGTCGTTGCTTGAGCTCATCTGCTCGTTTGCCAGAGTGCCAGGCCACTTGCTCTCCTTGGTGAATACCACACAAATGTGAACACATAGATTACTCATACGCCCTGGCATACACCCATTAGAATGAATCTGATATTGTACCGCTAGTTATAATCTACTTAAACTAACCAAATGAGAATCAGTGCAAAGTTTTCCTAAACTTTTACTATGATAAAATGTCTATCCGCTCTTACTGGCTGCATCATCATTTCTATTAATTGAACTTAATTGCCTAAAAAAATGGCTTGCAAACTAAAATTCTTATTGGCAATTTCGCCACCTCTTTTATGGTGTGTGCAATAATTTTCTAAGGGCTGAAAGCACAAATGCATTTTGCTAAGGTACAATACCAGAAAGGTTATAAAGCAGAGCATAGTAACAAGGAAATAGAAATAGGTAAACTACTCTGAAATTCGGTTTTGCTTCCATTTATGCATTATACGAACTAAATAATAACTATAAGCAATTACAAATACATACATCCATAATGGAATGAAATAATGCTGGAATTTTTCCTTTGTTCTATGTACATACATATTTATGTACCTTCACTTCTGCTGCACTGCTGCTTGCCGATACAAGCATCGGTGTTATAACTAAAATTACAAGCTCGAAATGTAGTTGCTTCATAAATTGTGGAATTTTGCAAAATATTGACAGCAAAAAGCCATAATAGCAGCTATAAAAACAAACAAAACGAAGCGGAAACAATCGGTGTAATTGCCAGCAACAGCAACAGAAATATTAGAAAAATAAAAGAAAATTTGTTCGTACAAAAAATTAGCAGCAGCAGCAGCATCGGGTGCAAGTTACCCACTTTAGACAGCTGCTGCTATAGTAGCATTTTTATTAGTCGCTTGAATAGTCAATATGGCTACTGTTGCCACAAGGAAATCTATTTACTGCTTTTTAAACATTTTCTTCACTCCTCAACTGGAGCGTTCGAAGTTGGTTGCTTTGCTTTCTACGAATGCGCAATTAGATGCTGCAAAAATGCTTTTGTCTGCAATTTTGCTAAAACGAATATGAATGTGTATGCATAGATAAATGGATGCATATACTCCATGTTCTGTTTCGAGTTTTTTGTTGGATTTTTGTGGCTTATCATTCCTTAATCAGTACTTTTTAAAGAGCATAATTTCCCTTCGAATGACCTCATGGGAACGTCCCGTGAGTATTGCCACCCTTTTATAAGTAATTTTGTAATTATTCATCCAAATATACATATTTTTTAGAAGCCCTGCGATTGAATTAGTTTTCTGAACTTTATTTAGCATTTTCAAAATTTGCAAAACTTTCTTAACCAGTTCTTACTTGCTCCTCTATCACGGTCTTTATAAAGACAACCTCTACAACTCAACCTGACTGCATGTGCTGCAACACTTAAAGTTTTTTTTTATTTTTATTTTTTTTCTGAAAAAGTTTATGTTTAACAGCGTTAATGAATTATTGGCGCATACCACTGCGCTTTATGCATCGTCCAAACTCTACTGCAGGCGCCAGAGATGGCAGATTTACTGCAGCCGTTGGCTGAGCACTTCTAATTCGTATAAGATAATACCGCTCGATAAATTTTCATAACAAACAAAAATCCCTACGTTCCACATCTCCGCTAAAGACTGCTCTTTCACTAATTAACTAGCTTAAAAAAAAATATATAATTTTAAGCTCAATTTCGTAGTACATAATAACCTAAAAGTCAATGATTTATCGCTTATTCATACCAAAGTTGGGGGGATCTTATTGAACTTGTTTACACCCATTGCAAGTTTTATATGTAGCATCAACGATTTAATCACTCTTAGTAATGGCACATCAAACTACCAATTCATTACATTTTTAAGTAGTCACAAGTAGTATTGGACAATGTCTTTTTTCGTGCTTGGCAATAAAAAGTCCAATAATTGTGCTCTTTACTTAACTGCAGTGGGCCGCGTTCCCCACGGCCGTAACAGCGAGCTGTCCACGCGCCTTTCACACCAACAATCTACCACCAGTACTAAACTCAATCCACACTTCCTCTTGTCTTCTTTCGTTCTGATGCAATTAAAAGGAAGCTCGGCCAAAAGTAAAAAAAAAAATTAAGAGATGCAACGATTCCTGTTACAACGAAATGCACAGCCATAAAGGGGAAACGAGCAAATTCATTAACACCCATTTTAATGTCATCATTTAAGCGCTTGCCATAGAGTTGTACCAATTCGTCACAGTTTGTTTTTTATACTTTTTGCATACTTGCTCTTCCATTTAATTCTTCTTGTTAAATTTAATGCTTGGTTGACAATTTTAACAGCTCATAAAAAATGCGGGCATGAGTTTCATAAAAGCGTGTCATGTGCATACATATCTGTAGATACATGCACATTTATACTTAAGTATCCACATTTTTGTAATTAGGTATAAATACTTTAATGTATGAATTTATACCCCACTCGCTTACTTGCAAAATGTTTGTCTTTTAGCGCGAGTGTTTTTTTTTTTTTAATTTGAGTGATTACAGTTAAAAATACCCACTTGATAGCCGAGCATTGCATTGCAATACATGCTTTTTCTTCATTCACCCTCCCCTTCGTAAACGACACATTCACTAGTCTGCTTTCCTCCAACTCTGCGCTCCATATTTTCACTTCGTTCGACATTGGACTCAAAACTTGATTTAATAATGCAACACGAGTTTTATAGCTAATTAACTTTTATGATGTTGCAACCACATTCGAGTGCATTAAAATCGCTTATCATAAATACTCTAATTCTTTGAATTTTGTAATTCCTCTGTGGTGACATTAAAGACGTTAAAAAGGGAATAAGTCCCAGCAGTTAGATGTGAAAGCGTGTGTGCTGATCTGATTTATTTGAGTATAATTATGAGTTTACTTAAAAAATATTGAACTAAGTACAAGGCTATAGTCTAGTTAACGTCAACTAAGCCAGAAGCGAAAAGATTTTGTTTTTGTATTTTCCTTTTTAGCTGATGGTCACTTTGCCACACCAAACAATTCCTGAACAAAAATATATTTATTTGGCCAATATATTGGTTTACGTTTATGTCTAAACTAATTGTACCTTTATTGCTGTAACTACTTAGGAGAAGTGTCAATTTTGAAATTTGTGAAATGAAATGCTTAAAAGAAACAATTTGTAAATATAATTACAGATATGAGCAAATCTTACGCTAAAGCATTCTTCATGTATTTATTTCAATCAGTGGAGTTCCAGAAACAAGTACAATTAAGTATTTGAACAATATTGGCCTTAAAAAGTTTATTTAGGCGAACAATTACCAAAATTACTGATTTTTTTCATTGCCACTCGAAAAAAACATAATTGTTTTTTTTTTAATTATGGGAAGTTTTCAAACAGAATGTTCATATAACAGGCAATGGACGTTGGCAACAAATACAACATATATTCATGTGAAAACGAACGAATCTAGTGTTACATTTGTGTTATGACTAGTGTGCCACCAAATGAAAAAAAAAAATACATTGAGTAAAAGATGGCTATGATTTCCATTTTTTACAATTTTTATTGGCACACTCGAAATTCATTCTAAAATTTGTATATACATGAAGAAAGTAATATATGTATATGTATGTGCATACGGAGTACTGTGTGAAAATCTTCCACGCCAATATTTAATTACTTTTAAGTTAAGTCCAAAACAAATTTTTGCCGAAAATGATATAAATCCTCTGATTTTCGCTACCTTTTTATGTACCTATAATTATAATTTTCTCTTCCATCAGGTCACCGATTGGGGCGTTGAGCAGTGCCGCTCGCTCCATGTGCACATTAAAATACCACCTCGCCTGCGCGTCGATCCGGCCAGCGTGACACTGCAACGCGGCGACTCACTACGCGTACGCTGTCTCTCACCCGGCAACGATGACATCAAACGCTACGCACAACTCGGCTACAGCTGGACACGCAACGGTGTACTCTTTCAATCGAATCCCGCCACAGTGATGTGGGAAGACCTTTATCCAGATGGCAGCATACTGAAAATTAACAACATACAGGTAAGTCAACAGCGCAACCACAATACGATACTCAAGTGCGCTTTAAAGCTTTAATTTTTATCAAGAAATAAAAGCTGTGGCTTTTTTTTTTGTACACTTTGAAGGCATTTCGCTTTAACTATTTATTTTATTCCTTTTTGCTTCACAACTCTCATTCGCACAGAAATCTGCCGAGTACACTTGCATTGTCTCAAATACTGTGCGTCCCGTTTCAAAGAGCGTCTACATCACCGTTATCGACCGCAATGCGGTGCATGTTTGTCACAGCGCTATGCTCTACGGTGTCCGTTGGCCAACAAGCGCACCAGGCGCTGCCATTGTGGCCGATTGTCCGCGCGGTTTCGAAGGCCACTCGCGGCGTATCTGCGAAAGCCGCGACACAGGCAATTCGACATGGTTGTTACCCGATTTCTCGCTTTGCGTACACGATCAACTTTTGGCGATTTACAATAAATTCCGTGCATTAAGCGCCGGCTACCAGCAGACGAACTCATCGGCCATACTGAAGGCTTGCTTCGAGTACACAGTTAAGCGACATAAGCGCTTTCTGCCCGGCGAGGCAGGATTTCTCATCGATATGCTGCATGAGGTGAGTACCGAAGGAGTGAGGAGTGAGTGGCTGTTTGTTGGAAGTCATCGAAGCATTAAAGTATTTACGAGAGGGGGGCAGGTGCTGGCAAATGCCACTCGAGTGTGGATTGCTTGAGTGACCTAGAATGCTGCAAAAAAAAAAAACAAGAACCGCATACAAATTTCTATCTATGTAGTGGTAAAAGCAACCGGTTTTTTTTTATATTTATTTAATGTATGTCAAGCACACACAGCAGCGCCATTGTTTGGCGAATGTTTACGTGCATTTTTAAAACGTACTCAACGCAAAAATGTCACGTATACGCCCGGGTATGCGCAGTAGCAGAGATAAAACGTCGCAGCTAGTGACATACTTTTTATAAAAAATTTATTTGCATTTAAAATGTTTATACACCACAAGAATGTTAAAGTCAAAAATCGTTCTCTGCACATTTTTTTTTGTTTAATATCAGCTGCAACAAAGTGTACGACAGTAATTTTTCACACAAAAGATGCAACTTGAATTGTACAATGACCGCAGTGAGATGTGTGCCTCTAGAGTTATCTGCGTATTCATTTTTCAAAATTGCATCCAAAGTCGAAAAAGTGACAAAGTTATTTTGCTTGGCGGGAGTATGAATAGATTCCCTAGAAAGACATCTTCACATACATAAAACTCAAAATGTATCTACGTTATGCACTTACATATAAGCAAAGCCCATACAAGTACTTACCAGCTGCGTATAAATGACGGCGCATGCAACCACTGCCTTGGCTGGTAGGTTGGTTGGTTGGTTGTTTGGTTGGCTGGCTGGCAAGCTGCTCTTCTATCCACCAGCCTTTCACATAACCGCACATTTCTCTAGGTGCCACCACATTTACACTTCACCCACTTAACTTGTGGCTCTACTTGCCAGCACCGAAATTCTACATCAACCTGAAAGTAAGCAAATGCACTGCAGGAAAATAAAATACGTAGAATCAAGAAATAACAAATAAAATAAATAGCGAGCGCTCATCTAAGAGGTAAAAAAGCCTTCCAACGATGCCAACGATGATGATGACGGTGTCGAGGAAAGTTCTTCGCAGTTCAGAAAGTGCAATTTTTCATTATAATTCATTTACAAATTTACAGCAGCCAGCAATTTTTGATCGCTTCTTCCTCTGCTTTGAGCTTTGCTTAGCCCATACATTCATGTGAACAATTTTTAGGATGTGCATGTATGTACATACATACATATGTGAGTTTCCTTGATGTGAATTAACTATACAACTTACAAAATGTGCTGCGTTGCATACCTGCAAAAAGTTGGCGGAAAAAATTTAATATTCGAAAAAAGGCGTCTCCTAAAGAAAATCGTAGTTTATTAGATTTCACTTTTACCGGAAGCCATTTGCTCCCATTTGCACACTTACAAAGGTACTTCCTTTTTGTGTGCGCCTCTCTTCTGTTGATCTTGAGTGGCCTTTTGACAACGAGTTGCTAAAACTTTTTATCGTGCAGCGCTGTCTGTATATGTATGTACACAGCAACTTCACTATCTGTCTATGTATATATATACACACACAAATATATATGTACACTTGAAATAACACAGGTTTACAAAAAAAAAAGTTTCTGCAAACCTCTACATCGCTATGATATTCGACGCCGTGAATGCGAATCCGAGGTATATAAGCCTCTATCACGTCAGGTTCGAGGTCATTTGAGGGTCGAAGAGGCAAAAGAATTTATTCAATAAAAATATTTTTTTTTTTTTTTTTGTTTGTTGTCACCAAATCCGAATATGGGAGGTCATCTCAAGGTCAACTTCAGAAGAATTGTATTGAATTTTCAGGTTTATTCAACGAATTTTATACTACTTGACCTTCAAATTGATTAAAAAAAAAAAAAAAAACGCTTAAAATCGCCAACCTGGGACAACTGAGAAATTGCTTTTCTATATACAATCCAGACTTTCAGAAAAACTTTGGTTCATTTATTCCTCAGCCGAGCGTTAGGCCTAAAAACCTATGCTATTTCGACGGGTCGGGGCTGTAGCTGGCAAGAAGAGTTAGTTGCAGGGCATATGTATGTCCATTATATCCTTGCCTAGTCTGGATAAGCAGGCGTTTAATCTGCTGAAGTATACAGCTTTTGGCCTGCAATGTGTAGTACATACACACTTGAAGACGACATGAGATAGGCAGGAGTTTATGTAAATGATGTTCATTTTTGATAGCTGATCTATACATTGCCCGTTCCAAAGTTCGTGCGATGCATGTCTAGATCCCAACCGTCAATTTATTTAGATCGCATTTTTGTATGGCTAGGAGGTGACTCTACTTCAAATAGATTTCTGTTGTGATATATTATCTACGGTATAATTGTATACCCTTACACGACTCGTAAGACCTTCAAGTCAATAAAATTCGGATGTTATATGAAGGCATCCCGCGGCCGTTGTTAACAGTACGATATTTTGACAGGTATGTAGATTTCTCTACTGTGACTTGTCAATCTGCTGTGTCCATGTGTGGCAGTGAGCCAATTGCATTACATGTATGCACAAATATTGTACATTTCTTTGTCCTCACATCACGTATCTCTGTTAAATGCGGCTATGTGCAAGGATAGCAACCTTTCAAAATTGCCATTTTTCGGATTATCAAGCATCATAATTTGATTGCTATTGACGTGAGTTCCTTACTGCCATTGTATAACTTGCATGCTGCTGGGAAACAAAACTATTTTGGCCTACATCGAACAAATTTTTGTGACAAAAGGCGAAAGCGGCATCATAAAAACGAAAAGCTACACTAACAAATTACACACACAGTGGCAGTCAGAACACAACAATAGTACAAGAAACATATCATTTTGACAATCAGCACAAATTGCCTAGAGATCAGCTGCTCTAGAAACTCCACCTAATATGAATTCGCCTTGGCCTTTTACTTACAAATTCCCCCCAAGAAATATAAGTCAAATGCGATACGAAGTATTTTGCAAAGTTATAAGCACATTTTTTTTCTGTGTATAGTTACTTACCAGCACATCAACTTGATGCAGCAATACTTTCCACATTATCTTACCAGATGTGCATACCTATATTCTCCTTATTATTTTCTACACATTTACCATTCACTTTGTGCTCAACATTCCTTCCTTTTCAGGTCGATACATATCTGCAGCTAAAAGGCACCCAACTAGAGCGTGAGATGGCAGCTGAAATAATTTTGCACATACTCGATAAAGTCATGCAAAATACACAATCGCTGAATAGTCAACAGGTAAGCGACACAGCATTTCTTATCTATTTAAGACTGTAGTTTGACAAATTATACGCGAGAGCAACAGCTAAAAGAAGAGGTATTTTCATAAATCATTTAAAATTACCGTACTCGAGAAATAGCGCATTTCCCAGAAGATAATTTAAGTAGGCCTTCTTAAGTGAAGCTATTCTAAAAGACTTACCGAAGAAGGGTTTTAAAAAGGCGCTACGCGTAGGCCCTATAAATAATTAAGCGAATGAATTTCAATGCTAAAAGGCAATAAAATATATTCTATATAAGCTTTGAATAAATACTTTGCAGAAATATGATTTTGATTAATTAAAGAAGCAACTCTAGAAGAACGTCTGGAAAAGGCCTTTCAATTTATGCCACCCCATACTCAAAAAGTTATTGAGTAAGCAATACAGAGTGGAAGCACTCTTGGCTCTCAGGAAGGTCCTTTGGAACGGGTTTAATAATCTAACGGACAAATGGCGCATAGCTCGCTCTTGTAGTTCTAAGGTCTGTGCCTGCAGCAAAGCTAAATAAAAGTATCTAATAATTTTTCCTTACTATTACATATTTTTTCATTCCATTTCATTCAATTGCTTGTATATTGAATACACATACACACAATCAAACCGTGAAATGAATTTTCTTGAATGAATGCGCACAATCAAGCGAATAAATCGTGTTACATCAAATTTACGCTATGCTCCACAATTGCGCCGCCAATCGTAGCAGCAAAATAACCAAAAATAAAAAATAAAATAAAAAAAAAAAACAATTGCAACATGAAACAAAACTCGCTTCAACTAAAGCCAATAACTTGCGAAACTTTATTGGCAGTTTGGCGATGACGTTGAAAATCTTGGACTGACGCATGCAATGACTTTTCACGCGTACATAGACAACTGCAGCAACAACTGCAGCAACAATGATAACATCAATTGCTGCTGCTGTAACTTTGCACCATTGTTTGCAGTAAATTTAGAAGAAATCGTTGCTAGCGACGCAATGGCATGTAGCAAATGTGGCAAACACATTTATAAACTTAAATATGTTACCTATATATGTATGTCCATATGTATGTACATTAGACAGCATCACTTCCCATGAAAAAGAAAAATCTCCTCAGATGACAGATTTTTTTAGCTTAAACTATTTTGTCACCTGAGGGAAGATTTTTCAAAAAATCCTTTAAGAAACTATTTTGATTCATAAGAACCCCAATTTTTTGAGCTATTTTCAAAGCCGTCCAGCTCACGTAAATTTTACTTTTTCCGAAATATTAAATATCCAAGATTTTGTAATCCCGGCGGAAAAACTGAAAGCTTTTTTGGGTGATGCAGTCTAATGTACATACATACATATACATATGTACGAGTATATATGTACATTTGTACGTGTGCAATGCGCATACTGATACATACAGCTCAAACAAAAGCCGTAGCTACAAATACAGACGAATATGCTACACTCAAATTGCTGCTTTTCAAATGCCGCTTGTTGCTATCCTATCCGCGCGTAACTGTCGTTTGCTGTGTTGCATATCGGCGCTTGTGGCATGCAACATAGCAAATGTGTTGTATGAAAATGTACTTATGTTTATCCATACATACATGTGCGCGTGTGTGCAGGTTTGCATATTTTAGTGATTGCATCAGCCATGCTTGCATATTCGAGACAGTTTGATCAGCCCAACTACATATCACTCGGCTGCTAGTCGGTTGCTCTGCCAACTTGCAGTTGATATTTCCTAGAAGCACAATTTTTTATTTATTGTTTGGTAATGTATTGATTGCGATTGCCAACACACAAATCGCTAACTTAACAGCTGTACATATAGGAGTTGCGAACCCTGCTGGGAAAAATTTATGTATATATGCGAGCTTATAACCCGTATGTAGATTTGTCAGCATCGCACCACTAATTTATTTTAACTTTTCGTTGAACATGTGCAAATTTATTTATTGATTTTTTTATTTTGAATTTATTATGGAAACTGAGAGAAAAAATCATTTTTCACTTAAAAAAAAATATAAAAAAATAACAAAAACAAATTGAATTACTTTCGTGAAACGGCCAGTAAAATTCGTGTTTTTCTGAAATGTCAAAATCTATCTATCTATTTAAGTGGAAATTAACTTTAATTTAATTTTGTATTTAATTCTCATTCAAATAATTTTCAGTTTCAATAAACTATTTATTTAAGTGAGTAAAAAGTGGCTGTGAAACAGACTAACCCAGCGAAAGCTTTCATTTTTACTGAGAGCTTTTGAAAGCTTTGGCACGCTGTGTTGTAAAAGCAGGGCTGTAACACCTCTGAGTGTGGTTATTCTGATTTAATTTTTATTTAAGTGAAGAGCATAGGTCACTTAAATCAAAATTAAAATTGAGTGGTGAAACCAAAAATTCGAAAATTAAAGTAATTTTCACTTAAATAATTTGGTGAAACTGGCTGTTGGGAAATACATTTTTTTTATATGTATGCAGTCATGTTAAAAACACACGAGGTAAAACCATTGAGAGGCAGTCTAACGTTTGCCAACACAATAATTTTAAAATTCAAAACTCAAACTCACATACACATTCTCATTTTCAATCTCAAACGACAATAATTGTGAACAATTTAATTTTTTTATTTTATATGATTTTAAAATGTTGGCCAACGTCAGAAAAAAAATCATGGCCGACGAATTGAGAGAATGAATTTACCTTGCAACGTTTTAATCATGCATACAATTCTCCTTACAATTTTTCTACAGACAATAGCTAAAGACATATAAATCGCCAAGTTTTTAGTTATCTTAAAATATGGTATATATTAACTTTTTGTATTTTTTTCGATAAGTGGCAACACTATTAATATTTTTTTTTCTTATTAATATTATTCATAAATTCTTAACAAAGTGGCATTATAGCCGCAAATTTAAATTTTAGTTTTTTTCTGATATTTCACATATCTGGCAACTCCGAATTTTCATTTTGTTTCTTTACAAACCTTTTACAGACATGTGTCAACTCCTTTGGGCTGTTCGTGAGTCACACATACGAACAGCAATTGATTTTTATATTCAAATAAAAATTTATTTTTATAGTTAAAACAAAATATAGCTCCTCTGTACCAAAACCACTGTTGACCAGAGCAATGCGGGTTTTTTTATTTTATTTAACTTCATGTTTTGAAATTTGTCTGCTTAGAAATTTTCCTATTGGCAAACTTTACATACATATATATGTTTTTTTCATCGGTATACATATACATACATACCTACATACATACATACAGATAAAAGTAACTGCTATATGTACACATATTTTGTTGCACGTTATCTCCTTTCTAGCAGCTATTGATTGCTCTAAAGCTAGTGAAAAATTTAAATTCAATTTAGCTTAACAATCAAGAGCGAATTGAACCAACAAGTGAACGCTTCTAACAATTTAATACCATGAAATTCTAGTACAGCCAAATTTAGACACAATTGCAACGGGTAAATTCAATCAATTGCGCAGCGACAGCGATTTGTTCCAAAGATAGTTTAATGGCGAAAGCGGAGGCATCAAATTAGTTTGTTGTGGTTTACTTATTTGTCAAGATAAGTACATAGTTTTTTTTTATATTTTTAGAAAAAAAAGCGTCCATGGGAAATACATTTGTTTAGTGAAATGACTAAATTTCAAAATCGCTACCATCACTTGAATTAATCACCGGAATATATATTCTTTTTTTTTTGCCATACAAGATGTTACTCACACGCCCTGTACTTCCTCATGCCAATATGTATGCACACTTTTCAAGCCATATTTGCATTTTGTACGCAAATAAATTATGCCAATTTTTGGGATATTAAAAGTTATCAAGTTTGGTATGACTTTTTATATCCCAAAAATTGGCATTTCTCTACATTGCCAAAATCCTTCACATACTCACACTCATTTGAACTAAATATATTCTAATGGTTCTACATAATTTCATGGCTCATAAAATCACTTGCACATTTATAACTCTATTAGTTGTATGTGAAATGCAATTTCAATGGCATAAATGACATCATAAGCATAAATTACTGAAACAAATTCTCAATTTAAATTTAGGATTATAACCAAACTGCTGGTATGTAGGAATGTGTAAAAGAATGTTGAATGTGTGAAAAAGTATAAGGGCATACATAAAATGATATGAAGACACTCAGCCACTAACAGCAGCCAGCCAGCAGACAAAATTCAAGGCGATCAAAATCAATGCAATAACTCAATTTGTATGTCTGTCGTATGCTGTTCGTAAGTAATGTGTTTTTAAAATGCTAAGCTATGCATAATAAGCAGATGCTGTTGTTACCGTTACCTACAGCAAAGGCAAGAGAAATAACAATAAACCATAACCAAATACAACAAAAAAAAAAAAAAACGAACGGCAACAATAAATGGCAAATGCAGAAAGAAAATATAAATTATGATCAAAAATTAAGCGAACATTTTTTTTATTTACAATGCGAGCGCATGTGCGACCTCCTGTTTATTTTAAAAGCGTGCATGGGTGTATGCGTTTGAGTGTTGAAAGCGCAACCTGTAATAGTTACAATTTATTTGAGTTTTTAACTGGGGAGTGAAGTCTAGGGTTCCGAAATAATATTGTACCAGATGTTATACAAACTCCATTTACTCTTCGTTCTCCAAAAATTTAGTGCAGAAATGAAGTACATATCTACCTTTTTTCTCGTTTTATAAATACTTATCTATGTACCTCAAAATTGTAAACATCGCTTCATGCCTTTTAAGTACTCTTGTTCGTAATAACAGACCACCGATGATCTCCATCATCCACCTACTATACCACTGGTCGACATACTAATACATTCAAACGATTCAAGAAGTGAGACTGTGTGCGTTACATGTACTGTTAAGCTGCCGCCTTCGTATACTTGTGAAACACACATGTGCTCAGAGAGCGTTAAGTGAGCTATGGCCTGCTGACCACTGATCTATAGATATAAAAGTTAGTGCGCCTGGACTACACTGGAGAAGTGAAACTTACGTTACATACATATCTATTTTGTCTCATAACCAATATACATACATACATATATACATGCAGTACATACTTCTGCTTTTGCTTGAGGCGGCTTGAGGCCGCTAAAGAAGTTTCACTTCAATAAAATTGTAACTGTCCGATATCTGTACCTTATAGATGTTAAAGAAAAATTAATATTTATTAGAGCAACAGAAGCCAAATCAACAATTTTTAGAATTTTTGTCTGTCTGCCTGTCTGTTTGTATGTTTGTACGCGCACACTCGAAAACTAATGCATGGAATCGAATGCAGTTTACACCGATTCACCGAAAACTAATTTGAGAGTTGCCACCTGTTTGAAAATTGCATTTTAAACAAAATTCATAAGATAAAGATAATATGAATTGCAATACGGCTGTCAATAGAAATAGGTTTGAGAAGGCTTATATTCAAAAATATTTTTTATGGAAAGTTGCCACCTGTTTGAAAATTTTTATTTGATTTAATTTATAAGATACATTAAATATTGCAATATGGGTATCAAACTAAAGAGGTTAATGAAAGTTTACTGTCAAAAATATTTTTGAGCGGAGTTGCCACTTGTTTGTAAAATTTTACTCAATTACTAAATTGACAAAATGAACGAAATATTACGATACAGGTATCAAACTGAAGAAGTTTAAGAAAGATTACTGCAAAAAATATTTTTGTAGTGGGTTGCCACCTATTTGAAAATTTTAATTCAGTTAAAGGGATAAGATATGGTAAATACTGAATTAATACATCTTTTAAGAAAGTGCACGATATCTAGAATTGAGTTATAAAGAGTATAAATGAAATTTTCAGGATTAAATACCTTCTATAAACTAATATCCTTATTCATAAAAAATTAATTATGTTTCATAAATCGAAAATTTATTTGAGAATCTCTATTCATAAAGGTCTTCAAATCTTTTTATTTATTTATATTTCAATGAAGCCATGTGAGTTTTGGAAGGGAGTAACAACTCAAACATACTTTTAAGGCGCAGTGAAACACGCCGGGTACTTGCTAGTTTGAAATAAAAATATCGAATAAGTCAAATCGTGGTTTTCCTTTTAAGGATTTTACCTTTAACGTTTAGCAGAAGGTGAAAGTAGCAGGTCCGCCCACTACTACCTAACGCAGTGAAGCGGAGAAATCTTGCGCTGCGAAATTTGGTTGCATAATAGGCTAAAATAAAAAAAAGGAATTTTCCACAGACTTTTCTGGAGACATTCACAGTGCTTTCAATAAGGGCGCCTTCAAGAGCGAGAGGGAATCGGTATGTTAATTGTGATGATGGGAAAGACCAATTCTTATGGTCCTGCTGGACCCCTGTGTGGGGCAACCACATTGGCAAAACCTAAAGCTTTACGACTTCTTTCGGTTGTAGTTTTCGAAGCTCTCATAGATTTTTCTGATTCATATAAGAACAGGAAACTGTATCTTTCTCGCCAAACGACATGCAATTTCTCATCGACTATATCTATGAATGGCCTGTAATTTATTTTTTTGTTAGGTAAAATCATGGTTTACAAACTTTTATTTTATATCCAAAAACATAAGGAAAGACACGGTCAGCTAGCTTCATCAATCGAGAGCTTTTAAAGCAGAATCCTGCTTTGGATAATGTAAAAATAAAGCAAAACTGTCTTTTATTCGCGTGCTGTATCCATAAAAAATACTTGAATAATGTAATTTATGACATTGACCTAGTTCCAGGTGAAACTCATTTTAAGATAATTTTTGTTTAGCCTCAACTTCAAAATATTTCCTTGACTTCAACTTTCTTATTTATGTATATATTGCAATTTCCTATCAATTTCCTCTTAATTTATTACTAACAAATTGTCAGCTCAGTATGCATGGCCGCATATGTATGTATGTTAGGGTGGTCCTTAAAATATCAACAACTGAATTTTGTTTTGGTCCCCCCTTTATTTTGTTCTACGTACAAAACAGAGACATTCACATAATTTCAAAATTTTGAACAAATTTTTAGTATTCGCTACCAGGATTTAAAAAAACAAAAATTTATTATTTTTTATTAAATCGTGAAAAGTCTTCAAACTTTAACTTTCACTAGATTTTACTAAAACTATTTAAACTTATTCATACAAATTCATAAACTCGCTGAGTTTTAGCTGGTCAAACTTAAGGTTTTGTGAAAGGTTTGTGATAAAAAAAAAAATTTTAAAACTTGTTTAAATCCTGGTAAATGTCTTTATTTGCTACGTTGAGCAAACTATCGGAGTACGCCATGAAGTGCATATTTTAGGGACCACCTTAATTTATGTACATACATAAGTATATAAGTTATAAAATGGAGCAATAAAATCCTTGCGCTCTGCATAATCGTGTTAGCTAACTATGCCGTATGTGCGTATAAATTTCAAGCTACTTAAATTTATTTCATCTTACTTAAGCTATTTGTTTTACTTTCATTTGGATTTATTTGTTTACTCTTTATGCTGAGCTGCTTAAGCGATTTATTACAGTTCGATTGGTAAGCAATCAATATGGGGAAATTATTTGGCAGTGAATTTTACGCTTTAGATATTTTTGGCAAATCATCCCAGTCGGAAAAGTAGTAATGCATTACATCCGTGGTAAATAGTAGAATGTATTTCTTATGAGTTCTCGATTATATTACTGCTAACTGTTAGTAATGTTACTAATGTATGTAATCAGCTTTCTAAACACATTCATTCCTCGTTACTAGGTAATGCAAAATTTAATGCCCCACTTTTCTTAGGACATCGCCCTGGGACAAAAATGCATTTTCGAATGTGAAAAGGGTACTTGTACTGATTATTTTTTCGATTACTATACATTACATTTTCCCTCTGGGATGCAGTTGACACTTATTTTGTATGTTGAAAAAATGTTAAGGTATTTTGTTTTAGTTTTGTTCGTTTGCTGCAGAAAACTTGGCAAAAATAGCAAGCGATTATAGGAAAATATGTTTAAAAAAATTATAATAATTTGCACCAGCTGAAACATTTTTTCTGCTCAAAAAAACACTGAAATTTCTTAAAGTTGAATTTTTTATTCCTCGAAAGCAGCGCTGCCCACGCCGTAGAACAAAAGCCAACAAAATAAAATCCAGCTCGCGAAAGCGCTGTTCGTGAAATTGTAGTTCTTGTGCGCAGTAGGCTCTGATGACTTTTTTAATTTTCGCTAGCTCACTTCTTGACGTACTTCGAAATAGACAGCACATTACCAGCGCACCGGTGAATTTCAAATGAATTCCAAGTGAAGCCACCTCTGCGTTGATTTCCTGGAATTTCATCGCACTACGAGCCGCACAACACAAAATGTCAATTCGCTTTCGCTGCTTCTGCCGTTTTATTTAATATTGTTGTTGTTATTGTAAGCTTCGCTAATGTAATGTAAGTATTTTTATTACTGGGGCTGTGGAAGAAATATTCTCCGAATTTCGCACGAAACATCTTCGACTTGTGATTTTTTTTTCTTCGTTTTACAACTCCAGCTCACGAATAAGTTTCTTCTGGGTTTCGCTGTTTTAAGGCCTCTACAATTAGTTGCTCATACGCCATGTATGCCTGCATGTCCAATTACTTTTTGAAACCTTAAAAGAGACAGAGAGATGGTATGGAAATTACAAAATACAATTTAAAACTCGAATTCGCAACATGCAAACCCCAAAGCCAACACGCCAAGACTTGAAAACTTCAACTAACCTCAATCACTTACGCTTAACTACTACCCCAAAGAGCCTCACTGCTGTATGCTCACGGCGTAATTTAATTACGTACGTCTTCTTCACTTAACAAACGATTACCTTTCACTTAACTTCCTGTTGTTAATACTCTTATTTTCGACCTAACTATTTCACTTTCCTATTTCACTTGCAGCAAATTAAAAAATTGCAACTCTTAACACAATCAGCAGCGTTGAACCGTGAAACAATTGCAGCATCTCAATTAGCAACATCAACATCATCCACGTCAGCAGCAGCAGC